CCGTTCAGGAGACTTTTGTTACAGCAGCCGAGGAAGCCATTGGCAGAAGGTATAGGTGCTTCCCAGGATTCTTATTTCATAGGAAAAAGAGCAACCACTGCTGGGGGATAAGAAAGCTCCCTTCTGCTTGGAGTCACTCCTCTCATTTAAATAAGACTATTTCCCCACTCTTGGACTCTTGTGTTTCAGCCTCTCTCTGTGTCATGGCATTGGGAAAAGCATGATCTAGTAGAGAACCAGTAACAGGAATTTTAAAAAATAATATCTGCTATTGCCCAACTCTCCCCCTCACTCACTTCCAGACACCATGGCTTATTGCTGCTTTCAGGTCTGCTGCCCACCATAGCTGGGGGGGCCTCCGTGCTGGCATTTCCTCCCCTCCTATGCTGTGCCCCAGATATCCTCACAGATCGTTCTCTCCCCTCCTCCAAGCCATGGCTTGAATGTCATCTTTTCAGTGACACCCCTCTATTTAAAATTGCAATGCCCCACGCAGCACTCCCAATGCTCCTTCTCCTGTTTTACTTTTCCCCACTTTCTAGCACACTGTATATTACTTATTTATTATGTGTATTGCTTAGCTGAATGTGTCCTACCACCAGACTGTAAGGGTCATAGGATGAGGACTTTTTGTCAAAGTTTCTCCCTGGTGTAGCCAAGTACCTAGAAAAATGTCAAGCACGTGGTAAGCACTCAGTAAAAATATTTACGGAATGAATTAATGAATAAAAGTGTACTTGCTTTGTCCAGACATCATGCTAAAGAAATGCTTTACATTCGATATCACTCTTAGCCTCACAATAACCTTGGAAGATATGTGTTATTAACCATCACTGAACAGACAAGGAAACTAAAACCCAGAGAGGTTAAGTAACATGTCCAAGGCCACACAGCTAGTGTAGTGGAGCCCAACTCCATTTGATGTCATGGTGCCTATTCCTTTTTTTTTTTTTAACACCTTTATTGGAGTATAATTGCTTTACAATGGTGTGTTAGTTTCTGCTTTATAACCAAGTGAATCAGTTATACATATACATATGTTCCCATATCTCTTCCCTCTTGCGTCTCCCTCCCTCCCACCCTCCCTATCCCACCCCTCTAGGTGGTCACAAAGCACCGAGCTGATCTCCCTGTGCTATGCGGCTGCTTCCCACTAGCTATCTATTGTACGTTTGGTAGTGTATATATGTCCATGCCACTCTCTCACTTTGTCCCAGCTTACCCTTCCCCCTCCCCATATCCTCAAGTCCATTCTCTAGTAGGTCTGTGTCTTTATTCCCATCTTACCCCAGTTTCTTCATGACCTTTTTCTTTTTTCTTAGATTCCATATATATGTGTCAGCATACAGTATTTGTTTTTCTCTTTCTGACTTACTTCACTCTGTATAACAGACTCTAGGTCCATCCACCTCACTACAAATAACTTAATTTCGTTTCTTTTTATGGCTGAGTAATATTCCACTGTATATATGCGCCACATCTTCTTTATCCATTCATCTGTTGATGGACACTTAGGTTGTTTCCATGTCGTGGCTATTGTAAATAGAGCTGCAATGAACATTGTGGTGCATGACTTTTTTTTGAATTATGGTTTGCTCAGGGTATATGCCCAGTAGTGGGATTGCTGGGTCGTATGGTAGTTCTATTTGTAGTTTTTTAAGGAACCTCCATACTGTTCCCCATAGTGGCTGTATCAATTTACATTCCCCATGGTGCCTATTCTTAACCATACTTTTGGATCTGAAGCCTTCAGTCCCAGCCCTGTTCATTTATTCTGATGCCCGAGAGATATTGGCTCCCTTCTCTTTTTTTTTTTTTTTTTTTTTTGTGATGAAGCTGTGTATGTAGACACCCTGCCATCTCTTCACCTGCATTTTAACTATTCCTGAACACCATGCATGTCAAAGAGAGGGAAGACAGATTCCTGTTTTGGAAAACTCAAGACTTCTGTGAAGCTGAAAGCTGGGTTAAATTATAACCAAAAATATCTTATAGTCTAACTTTCTTTGAGTTAGTGAATTCTTGAGATGCTATGAAAGCTAATGAAATAATATCCATAAATTCCCTCATTGGAGATAGGAGGGGCCAGAAATATTCGGTCTCTAGGAGCCTAGCGTGTAGATTTTTCTGAATATAATATCCCATTTACCGATGAAGGCTTTTAAGCACACCCTGGTGTTAGATTATCTTGGTTTTAGGAGATTTACGGTAGAAACTGGGACTATCCCGCCTGGTCTCAGGCACAAATGCTTCTGCTAACGGGAAGCATTAGCCTACTGTAGCTGGATATTACTATTGTGTTAGGAGAATAGTAAGTATGCCAGAAAACACCTTCTCAGTCATCGCTGTTGCTCAGCAGACTGTCACAACCAGAGCCTTAGGCCTGTGATGCTATGTCCCATCACTGGAAATAAGAACAGATTGACAGCAGTAAAAGGATAAGAGAAGGGACCCCTGGGCTTCCCTGGGGGCACAGTGGTTGAGAGTCCACCTGCCAGTGCAGGGGACACAGGTTCGTGCCCTGGTCCGGGAGGATCCCACATGCCGCGGAGCGGCTGGACCCGTGAGCCATGGCCACTGAGCCTGCGTGTCCGGAGCCTGTGCTCCTCAACGGGAGAGGCCACAACAGTGAGAGGCCCGTGTACCACAAAAAAAAAAAAAAAAAAAAAGAGAAGGAACCCTGAACCTCCCTGTCTGGGCTCTGGTCTATTCACCTGCGTTTCTGCACTGCTGGTCATTCTTCTCTAAGTACGTACTCCCTGCCTCCCAGTGAACAAGCACAGCTCTTAGAATAGTCCTTCTGCTTCTTTCCATTTCTACTCCAGAAATGACAGACTCCCTGCATATCTACTAGGACTCTCTCTTACTTGGAATTTATGGGCCAGCCAGGGCAATGTCCTCTACCAGAAATAGTCACCCCAGAAAGCATCCCCCAAGACTCTGCCTCCTGTATCTTAAATTGGTTAAACACTACCATCCCCTGAGCAGGTGCAAAAGAGCAATGGAAGATAGAGTTTTAAAGCTTGACTCCAGCCCACACTGGCTATATGACCTTGGGCAGGTAACCTGGCCTCATTTGTAGCACAAAGACATTCATATTCATTGTGCAGTGGTGGTATGAGGATTAGAATTCACACATGTAAAGTTCTTGGCAATCAGTAGGATGTTAATACATAAATACCAGAGCTCTTTATATTCTATATAATTTTTATTTATATTCTTTCTATTCTATATAATAAATACCAGAGATCTTTATAGTCTAAATCACTGTCCACTTTATCTCTTGATCTTATTTTAACAACCTGAGAATTTTAAAGTCCTGAAAATCTGAATGGATTTCTCAGCTGAAATTATTTTTATTGCAGCTTAAAGATGCTGGTTACAAGGGTTTAATTGCTAAAGGGTTGGTACAACCCAGGTCTGGAGATATATCACCAGAAACCCTCCACCAAAGTGGATTCAAATGACTGCCAAGGTCATAAATTTCATTCACTTAGCTAACATTTTTTGATCTATTATTTTGTCTGGCCTTATTCTTGCCACTCAGGACACTGGGGAAGTGAGGTCTGGCTCCTGTTTTCATAGGCAATGGGCAAGATAGACAAAAAGGGAAATTATTGCAATGCTTGGGCAGAGTAGAGGTAGAAATTTTATTCATTCCAACCCAGGAAACTCTTAAAATGATGACTCAGTCATCGCCAGCAGCCTTGAATTCACTTGGAGTAGTGACAAGGGATCAGGGCCTTTAGGCTGACAGGGGGTTAAGTGGGCAAAGTCTGGCTTAGAAGCCTGTAGACTTAGTCTCTTCATCCCCTGATTTAACACTGGATCTGAGAAAAAGCTCTCCAGATCTCAGTTCCCAGCTGTTTAGAAAGAAAATGTGAACAAATCTCCTTTCTGACAGGTTTAATGAGAAAATATTTAATGATAAAGTGCTTTGAGCTCCACAGGAAAAAATGCCAAGGCTACACAAATTCATTGCCCCTTTGCCACATCACCAAGTTCAATCTTAGCAATGTATACCTTGGAGGCAGAAATATAAGAGGTATAAATTAAGCCAAAAGATCACTCGTTTGGAACTGCAGAATGCACTGGATTCAACGTACATGTCAGCACAGATCTGCAAGCTTGCCTTCTTTCCTGTCTGGGTGGCCCTAGCTAAAAGATCCGCATTCCTGCAGTCAGGGGGCTAGGTTGCTCTTGGCACTGTGGCTACTCCAGGTTCTTCACGTTGCTGGAGGCGTAACCTGACAGTTCCTGACCTCATCCCTGAGCCGAAGGCTGCTCCCCGCTGCCCAGGGCTGCCCCATTGCTTTTGCAGGACTCACTTTGTACCCAAGCATGCAGCCTAGAGGTGCAGAGGAGTTAACGCCTCATGGGGGCAAATGTGAAAAGTCCCCATGGACCAATCCTGAATGGGAGCTGGATATAAAGTCTTCTTCTGTTCTTCCCCAGATGGACCAGTGAGGATCCAATAGCTTCATACAACCTCTCCTGCGAAACATAGCCATCAACTCCTTAGAGCATTTTCTTATATTCACTCTGCCTCCTTTCTTGCCTCATTTCTCTCTATCCTCCGTCCTGCTTCTCTGGGAATGCATTTGCCAATACAGTATCAATCTATGAGCTCTTGTCTCAGGGTCTGTATTATTAGGAAACATGGGTGAAGACAAAGAATATTATCACCTAAGTTGACCTTAGAGAGATTCTATTTGAAGCCTTTCATTGTATAGAAGAGAAGACTGAAACCTGATAGGGCAGTAGGTTCAGTATTCTTTGAGTAATATCACACACACACACACACACACACACACACACACGCATGTATATATACACACACATATACATGCATATACACACCTATGTGCCTGTATTTATAATCATTTATGTATATGTGTGTATATATATATATATACGTGTGTGTATATATATATGTATGTGTGTGTGTGTGTATATATGTATGTATAATCTTATTTATTGGCCTTTTCTCCCATCCTCAGAAATAGCAGACAAGATCTACAATCTCTTCAATGGCTATACCAGTGGGAAGGAGCAGCAGACCGCCTACAACACGCTCCTGGATCTGGGTTCCCCCACTCTCCATCGAGTCCTCTACCACTATAACCAGCATTACGAGAGTTTTGGAGAATTCACCTGGCGGTGTGAGGATGAATTAGGCCCCAGGTAATCAGTAAACTTCATTATCTCTTTTAAAGACCTCAGCTTTTTGAAATTTTGTACGTCTTCCACTATAATACTGCCTTCATGAATTTGCAGATATCCTGGGTGAGCTTAGCTGCTGTAAGTCCTGTGCTTCTAGACAGCTCAATTCATACTGATTAGTTATGGATAAGCTGTATTTATGCTGTATTTAAGTCAAGCCATGAATGCATTTCCTGAACTCTGAAAAAACCTTTGCCCTTGAGTTGTTTTACCCCCTCCTTATCATGCTGACACAGCATTCCAAAGGCTAAACTGTAGGAGCCCAAAGCTTAGTCTTTTGAAAGAAAATTAGGAATTTTATTGAAGAGGTTATCCAAAAATATTTACTGCATATGAACTTTACATATGTTATGTGCATTATACAGACGTATTTCGAGCTAAATTCTACATTCTCTTGAAAGGCAGAATGGGGGTAGCCAATGACCCATCTTGACATCTAACCTGGCCAAAGTTAGGATAATGTAGTGTTTGCCAACTTGCCCTGGCCCCAAGGCTACAACTTCCCAATACTCTGTACTCCTGCTTTTAGGTTATATAGCCCAGATAGAGTTCTTGGAAAGAGAGGAATGGGAAGAATGCATAGAGATAACACCTTTCCTTTGTTCCATTCAACATGGCTGTGTATTGCTGCTCTGAGAAGAGAAGGTTTCTCTAGAAATACTAAGATTTTCAGATAAACACAGCGAAGAGGCTTTTCACGTGGAATGTCCCCAAACTTATCTGTCCCCAAACTATTTAGGAGTTCATAAAGAAAAAAAAATAGGGGAAGGAAGGAAGGGAGGGAGGGAAGGAAAGAAAGAGAGGAAAAAAATAAATGAAGAAAATCAGTACAGTAGGATCCTCGGGCACTCAGAATTCTTGCTGTCCTGCCAAAAGGGATCAATAAAAGCATCACCCGAAAGTCATCCCATTTGTCTGATATCTGATCAATTGGAAAGGAGACTTAGTCTCAGGACGCCTCGTATGACCTGAATTTATAAACTTTTCTAGAAGACCATTGTACAGGACATCCCCCGCCCTGCTACCTATTTTCTTACTTTTGAAGAAAGGAGAAAATTTAGGATTACCTTCCTAAAATAAAATGATTTTATGTGTAAGGTCAGGAAGAATCTTTCTGCATTCCATAAATTATTTCCCGAAGTTTATAAAGGTTGGTTATTCTTGGGCAAACAGATGCCATGGCTATAGACAGGACACAGAGGGAAATATATAAGGGGGCTTTAATTTGTTCTGTCTCAATTTTGGTAAAAAGCAAACCCTGGGTTAGAAGGTAGATATGTATTAAGAAATAGCCTCCCTGCTCCATACCTTACCATCACTCCTGTCCTTATTATTACTCATACCTAATATCATCCCCTCTCTCCAGCTCTCTCCCCAATTCCCTTCATGCTCTCTCCTCCCTCCTTCTGACATTTATTGAGTACATATATGCAGTTCTTTGTCAAGGAGCATAAATGTCACAATTTGAATAGCACTAACATTGCATACATCATCTTGACTTCCAAGGGAATTTGGACTGCTTTTAAAATGTCTCTCTTGTAACTCAAGAGTCAGAAGGAAAATTGGTTAATGAAGAAAGTGCGCAGGGGAAAAAAATGCCGATCTCATTGTAAAGCAAGGCCTGCTGCTGACTTGACACTGTCTTCTCAAAAAGAGAAGACTCTCAGGAGTCTTCCCAGGAGACTCTTTCATGTGTAGTACTGGTTTTTTAAGGCTATATATTAGGGGGGAAAATTGTAGTTTCATTAGCTTGTGGAAAATCAAGTTTCGCTTTTCAGTGTCATGGATCTGGGGGAGAACCACAGGAAACAAGAAGTCTCCTGCCTTGAGATACTTCACCACTTTGGAGTTAGTTGTGAGAATAAATAGAAAAGGGTCAGAGGGTACATATGCCCTGCAAGCAAGCAGAAAGTATTCCCTTGCTTCAGTTAAATCCAATTCCATTAAAATTCATGGAAGCCTCCATGAGAGTTGAAATACCTTGAGGACAGCCTTGGTCGCATTGCTCTTAAGAAAGAAGAAGGCTCTGAGATGGTCAAGGACATACCCAAATTAATTATTATCTTTTTTTAAAAAGGGAGCAATGAAAATAGCCACAAAAAACTCCATGGGCTAATTAAATCCATTTGTTTGAAAGGATGGCTAGGATGTGTTCCTTTGTCCATTTCTTCAAGATGAGGCAGATGCTGCCCTTTACTCTTTCTTCTCTCCCCCTTCGTCCGCATCCCAAGAATGTGTCAACAGCTAATGACATGCAGCAGGATAGATTAAGAGGAAGGCCACCAAAGTCCCTGTTGATGACGACTTTTGGAAAGCCTGCTTGGCCAAACAGCAGAGGCTGATGGGCAGAGAAGAGGCAATCTGCATAAGGTGTGACTTAGTCGGCAGAGTGTTTGTTTGATCTTCTCTGACCCACCATTGCAGTGGGAGAAAATTTGACTGGCCTCCGATGACCTCACACTCTCTGGGTCCCTTGACTTTGCTGCCACAGCTCAACACCTTGCTTCCAATGTCCGTCATCCCCACCCGTCTCTCGCTTGCCCTCCTAGGAATGCGGTGAGCTCACCCCTTGTGATGCTCGTAGCCAGAACGGAAGAAGAGGCATGAAATGAATGTGCTTCTTGTTCTTGAGAGCTCATTCTAAACTTGGTGAAGAAACTTCCAGTTTCTGGAAAGAATTGTTGATTGAATTAGAAAAGAGATGCTTCCTCACGTGTGAAGTTAGCCTAGCAGTTGATAAATACTGCAAGGGGTCCTGTTCATGAACTTTCCAGAACAGAGTTTAGAGCCTCACATGGGCTTGTTGGAATAAGAGACTATTCTTTCATGGGTCTCTGGTCACCCGTGGTTTTTTGAAGAAGGGAAAGAACACAGCTAAATGAGGGGATCCCCGTTCCTTCACTTATCCTAAGTGTTCAGAGTCAAAGCCAGTGTGGGCTGAGAACTGGCCATCAGGCAGTCCCATCTCTAACACCAGAAGTGGATGCCAAGAAGAGGCCGTACACCGGTGAGCTAGATCCTGGCGACAGCCCGCTTCCCCAAGCTATGCGCAGGGGGTCTCACATCCTGTTCTTGGCCCAGTGGGATCACTCCTTTACCAGTGTGTGTGAACTTGGGGAGACCTTGCCCTCCTCTTCCCATTCTCTCAGGGATCTGCAACAGCTCAGGTGCCCTCTCATCACCTCGTCTTCTTCCCACTCTTTGGATGGGGTCTCAGGGGTCTCAATGGCGCTAGCCTCCTGACTTTCCGAGGGAGACTGCAGAACAGAGCAGGAGCGCACCTGGGGGTTAACTAGGTGCTGCGTGCCACTGGGAGTCTGCATTTTCCCAAAGAATGACCCTATGTCAATATGCACTGAGGGCACTATTGTTCGTGCCCTTATTACACTATAATTACCTTCATACAGGCATAATGAGTTACACTTGATATCCCCCAAAGTGCAATATATTGGCGGCTTCTACTCAGTTCAGAAATACCCTTGAATCCAGTCAGACACATTATTTGTCATTTAATGGTGATAAATTACTGGCTTTAAAGTAAATTGATCTGATTTGTCAGCTCTATGATTTGAAAAGAGCATAAATCCCCACTACAGTATGTCATTTTCTCTTCCTTATTTGTCCTTATTGCATTTTGTTTCTTTGTTTCCATTTTGGTGCCCTACTTTGCTCGTCCGTCCTTATTCATTCATTCATTCTTCCATTCATTCATTCATTCTTCCATTCATTCATTCATTTTCTTGACAAGTATTTATGGAGGTTCCCCCTCTTCTAAGTGCCAACCATGGAACAGTAAGCAAAATAAAGGGGGCTCTTCCCTCTTGAAGTTTAAAGTCTCACACTGTTTACCTTTCCTGCCTTCTCTTCTTTCTAACCTAAGCATCCTCCATGCTTGATCCGTAGGAAAGCTGGCCTCATCCTTTCTCAGCTTGGGGATCTCAGCAATTGGTGCAATGGACTCCTTCAGGAACCCAAGATAAGCTTGCGACGCAGCTCCCTTAAGTACCTGGGCTGCCGCTACAGCGAGATCAAGCCCTACGGACTTGACTGGTCAGAGCTTAGCCGGGACCTTAGGAAGACGTGTGAGGAGCAGACCCTGAGCATCCCTTACAACGATTATGGGGACAGCAAAGACATCTAGCGCCATGATGCCAGAGAGCAGCTGCCAGAAGGAAGCAGGAGAGAGGAGGGGAAATATCTGGGTTGGTGTGTGGATTTTTAATGTTTTTAAGGGAACGTTCAGACCTCCACAGGCAACATCTAAACTAGGGAGAAGGTGATCCTTGCTTCCTGCAGAACTTCTCGGGTATCATGTTCTCCATCTGTGTGGTCAGTAAGCCTGCTAGCCAGGGCTTCCTAAATTTCTTCTTAGGGAATTACTTTGGGGCTTGTTTTGCGGTTAATTTGTTTTGTTCATTTTTTGTCCAAGAGGTTCATCAAAATGCTCGGGTTCTGCCATGCTTCTCATGAAAGGGCCATTAGGTGGTGCACCCTGTGCTCACTGAGTTCCTATGTCCCTTGCACCTGGGGACAGAGATGAGGCCAGAAAGTTGTAGAGTGGCCTCAGACCCCAGCCTCAGATGTCCTAGGAAAGCTCTCACACTAAGAGCCTAAGCTCTGCTCACAGAGAACAACAGCAAGAAAACTGGGAAGGTGGCCCCTGTGTAGGTCTCATGGTTTCCGCCCCCGGCCTTCCGATTGCTATCTTCACACTGCAAAGGTGAACTTCGCCTCCATTATGGGCCCTGGTCGGCCTCCTGGATTTTTAAGGGAATTAAATCTCCTTCTGGAAGAACTCTGCCTTCTCCTCTGAACAATGTATCTTTAAGAGGCAATAAAATGCTACCTGTCTAATGCACCTGCAGAGCAGTCTACCTGGGAGTCTGGTTAGCAGTCCATGTTCTCGAAAAAGAAATGTAGTTTCTTCTTTTAAAAAGCTCCTGTACCTCCAGAGTGAACTTCTGCAGACCAGTAGTGCACGTCGCATGCCCGGATTCTCTGTGGTGTCTGCGCCGCTTACCTTGCACAGATCCGTCCTGGCTGATGTACGCTCTGGTCAGGACGGGTCAAGGCCTCCATGTCAGTGTTTTAGTGAACTCAAGTTATTACCCATCACAAAACACTTCCGTCCATTCTCCCCTTTGCCAAATTTGCTTAGTTATGTTGCTAGTTTTGCAAATCATTTCTCTGGGTGAGGATTCCATTTTCACCCCCCATCTAGTTGCCAGGAGCAGCAGAGGTTCTGTGTAGGTGAGCTCCCCTGACCACAGGTAAGGGCCAGGCCACTGCTTCTGCCCCGCTCCCCGAGCATTGGCAGTGGCACAAGTGGGGACCTGGCCAACGGGAAGTCCAGCCTCTCAGAAAGAGCTCTGCAGGGCCCTGTGGACCAGCAATGGCCTTAATTGTCCTCACACACCTCAGAGGCCTGAACACACACGTTCAGCCACCCTGCCTTTGACCAGGGCTCCTCATTTGGAAACACAAGAGAAAGGTCAGGAAGGAGATGCAGAATCTATAAGGCTTGTCATTGAGCCCTACTGAGTTTTTTCTAAGTGGTTAGAATGACAGAGCTTGGTTATTGAGGGCTTACTGTGTGCCAGACGCTGCTCTAAGCGCTTTACCTATCGCTGAATTCTAGCAACAGCTCGTTTCTTACCTACCTGAACCACCATTTGAATTCAGGCTGTCGGACTCCAGAGCACAGGATTGTAAACCCTCGCCCTCCTCAGCTCTGCTTTCCACGTTGCCTGGACGCGCAGCTCTCCCTGGCCCCTGCCTCCGTGGCACAGATATGCCTGCAGTGCGTTGCAGTGGGAGGAGGGCACAGTGCATCCTAACCCTGTAGCCGGGGCGTCCTTTGGGACCACGGATCTGCAGCACAAGCCTTCTCCCCGCCAGTGCCTGAGAGTGAGTGAGCCTGTGGCAGGGCTGCAAGCACAGGTGACCTCACGCCCCTCTCTGCATCTTTCTGCAGAAAGATGGAAAGACAGTATATAGACTCTGGAATGCAGCCCCCTCAGTTCCAGAGCAAAGGCTGGCAGAAAACTGAGACCCACCTGGGGTCAATGCCGGGCGGTGGGTGAAATGCCTCAGAAACCAGTGTCTCACCTTGACCGAAGAGGAAGGGGTACAGGAGGCAGCAGTGGGACCCCAGCCAATGGGGCGGGGCCTTGGTGAGAGCTGGTTTTGCCGCTGCTACTCCTTTATTCAAGTCTGTACAGAAAGCTGGATCTGCACAGCAGAGGACCAGGACCTTGGGCCAGAGAGAGGGGCCGGGGAGTGGCATCAGGGACACCGTTCCCTGTCCCTCCTTCTGTGTTATTAAAATAAAGCACGCTCACGCTTTCCCTCCCTCCTCCCGTCTCCCCCCAGGTCCATCCTCATCTTTGTCTGCTTCTCCTGCCTGATACCCTTCCTCCTTAGCCCCGTCCTTCTCCCTCCGTGACCCTCTCCCTCCTTCAGTGTGCCCTGTGCCCTCCACACATACACACAGTATGTGCACACATGCACACACAACACACACTCTACACAGTATATACACACACTGCCCACACAAAACACACACTACCCACACTGTACACACTCGACAGAGTATATACACATATTACACACACCAGACACATGCACACACTACACACGCAACACACACACTACATGTGCACACACTACACACACGCTTTACAAACTCTGCACAGTGTATACACATACTACACACACACACACACACACACACTACACACTCTACACACAGTATATACACATACTACATGCACAGTATACACACTGTACCTGTGTACACACACACACTATAGACTCTACACATTTACACACTACACAAACTATAGGCACACACACTATACACATACAGTGTGCACACACCCTATATGTATACTGTACACACTACACATAGGCACACACACTACACACACACACTACATACTACACGCAGCCACAGATGTACACACACTACATCCACAGTGTATACACGCACACTACACACTGTACACACACAACAAACACACTATACACACTACACAGAATATACACACACATAATATACAGACACACACTATATATACACAGTCTACACACACACTACAGACACACACATTACATACACAAACTACACACACACACACACTCTACACACACACATACACACTGCACACACAGCCTCTATGCCTGGGTCCCACCTACTTTCAAGTTAAAAATAAGGCCAATATGAGTGGAGCAGGAGAGAGTGCTCAGGCCCCCTGAGGATTTCACTCGAGGATTTTGCCCAAGGAAGGCAAGCTCGCTCACACCCCGACGACACTGCCCACAGTTTGACTGCAGGAACCCATTCTGACTAGAAGGGTGACGGACGGGGCCACTATTAAACCTCAACTTTCCAAGCTGCCAAACAGATCTTAAGGGAGTTGCTTATACCCACCAACACTCTGCCAGCCCTGGGATCCCACGAGGCCACTGGTGTTTCCTCCTGAATGGACATGGCCCACTGTAATAGCACTAGACCTTTAACGGAGTGTGCGGTTGTCTTCCGTGGAGTTTGGTCCGTTCATTACTTTCAGTTAATCGCACTTCTTGATATTTGAAAATGTTCTATTAAAAAACTGAGTGTGAAAAAAAACCACTTTACTACTATAGAAGGAAGGGAGAGTATAGTGTGACCAACTTCAGGTATAGCAGTATTGTTTAAAAGAGAATCATTGTACGATTATACAAATGGAATAATCAACTAAATAATAAACAAAGCTGTCAGTAAGTGTCGGGTGTGTGGATGTTACCGGTGTCTTTTAATAATCGGAGTGATCTGGTTAGACCAACTGTGGAATTATTAAAGCTTTAAATGTTATACTTTAGATTCTGTTGATACATACATAGGTCTTATAGCCCATCATCTTAAGTAGAAAAAAACTTAAATCCTTCACAGCAAATTATAAGCTTATTGTTAGGTACTAGCTATTCTCATCTTCTTTCTACCATCGCCAAATAATTGGCCAATGAAATGTATTTATTGCACATCTGCTGCATTTCAGACACTGTGCGTGGTGCGGGAGATACACTGGGTGGTAGGACAAGCTTGTTCTCTGTCACCGAGAATGGCATTTTATAGGGAAAGTTAGACATTGAACCCATCATTACAAGGGTGACAAGAACTATGACAGAGACGTACAGGACTCTATGGGAGTTGCTGAAATTTGTATGTTGGGCATCTAAGAATAATGTTGCAAAAGGCCCTGCCTGACACATTCTTACCTTGCATTCTGTAGAGGCATTTGGGAGAGGCTGGCTATTATGAACTGTAGCTCAGAACCTCCATCTTTTCTGCCCCCTCTCTACAACGTAACTTTAAATAGATGTTATCTGTGCTGCCACCAGCGCATGTGATTCCCTTTAAATTCTTCAATAGCCAGCTATTCAGTGCCTAGGCGCTAGTTGGCCCTCTTGAAAAGTAACCGTGACAGTTCTGGTCTGTGCGCGCAAGTGAGAATTATTAAAAGAAGACAGACTGGCAGTTTTAAAAGACGGCCCCATAAATTCTTCGACACGCCTCCCAACTAGAATGGTGTTCTACTGCCTCTGCCCTTGAGTCTGGGCAGGTTGATGACTGTTTTGACCAATAGATGAGAATGGAAGTGAAACTCTCTGACTTCCAAGTCTGAGTCATAAAAGGCCTTGGGGCTTCTGCCTTTTTCTCTGGAACTCTTACTCTTGGAGAAGAAATCTGAGGCCACCGTGCTGGGGCCACCATGCTGGAGACGTCACATGTAAGCACTCTGGGCCACTGTCCCAGCTGAGCCCAGCCTTCCAGACATTCCAGCTAAGGCACCAGACACATGAATGAAGCTGTCTTGGCCCCTCGAGACCCGTCCCTCTGCCAGCTGCACACCACCCAGCGACCTCTATCAATGTCACATGGAAGAGGAGCATCACCTGCCAAGCCCCGCCTGAATTCCTGGCCCTGAAAATTATGCAACACAATAAAATGGTTATTGCTTTAAGCCACTGTGGGGATTGGTCTGCTAAATAAAGGGGATCGGATGAGAGCTCAACGGTGTCTATTCCACCCAGCCAGTGACGGAGCATCTAAGTTTCTGTCCCGGGTGTGAATTCACCGTGAAAAGAAGAGGTGATTTT